GACGGGGCGCGCAGCGGGGACGCGGGGGTGCGGGGACTCCAGGGACTGAGGGGGGGAGCAGTCACGGCCAGCTCAGCCTCCTGTCTTGGGCAGGCGGTGGCTTGTTAACCCAGCTGGGGACCGTGCTAAGAGGGGTGGCAGGTTGTGAGGGGCCGCGGGGGCCGCTGGGCACGAGCTGCTGGTTCGGGGTTGGTGGCTGGGTGGTGACAGGAGGCAGCCCCGGGGGACGGAGCAGAGCGGAGGTGAACGCCCGTGCGGCCTGCCTGCCGCTGTCCTGCTTCCTGCCCGGGGCTCCTGGCCGCGGCTTGTCCCCACAGGACCCCGTTTCCTCCCGAGCCTGCCTCTCCCTCACTTAGCAGGAGCGAGGGAGGCCTCCGTATGAGGCCCTACCCGTTGCCGACGCTGGGAATTCCTCTCGGACGAGCTGTTAAAGCCGTGCGTCGCCGGGGAGAGGGTTACGGCCCGGTCTTCGCCCCAAGCTGAGCACGTGGTGTTTTGCCTTGTAGGCTCAGGAGGAAGCGCGTCGGAACAGGCTGATGCGGGACATGGCCCAGCTCCGACTCCAGGTGAGCCTGGCCTCCTGTCCTCTGCACCCCCCACCCCTGCTCTGACCCAGGCCCCACCCTGCTCTGTTCCACCCCCCCCTTCCATGGTGGCCTCCACCCCGATCACCTCTGAGACCGCCTTCTCTTTCTCGTTTCCTCACAGCCTTAATGCCCCTTCTCTGCCTTCGTCACTGTCTGTTCCTTGTCTCTCTTGTTACCTTACCCTTCTTTCTGTCTCCCTTTTCTCCAAGACCCTTGGTACAAGGGTCCCCTGTTGGCATAAGAAGCCCCTTGGGCCCCGTTTCCCCCGTCTCCCCCAGGCTGCAGGGCCCACGCAGCCCCGCTCTCCGCCTCTCTCCCCAGCTCGAGGTCTCTCAGCTGGAAGGGAGCCTGCAGCAGCCCAAGGCCCAGTCGGCGATGTCTCCCTACCTCGTCCCCGACACCCAGGCCCTCTGCCACCACCTTCCTGTTATCCGCCAGCTGGCCACCAGTGGCCGCTTCATTGTCATCATCCCCAGGACAGGTAGGCCTATGGTGCAGCTGGTGGGACAGAGCGTGGCCACGTGGGACTTCGGGTTTACGATTGAGAGACCCTCACGGGGGCCCAGGTTACACACGGCAGCCTTGGTCCAGCCCTGCCACTTTTCTAAAGCTCAGCCTCTTCAACTGCGGAATGTGTGTGACAGTCTCTATTAAACCCTCACTTACGAGACAGTTGGGAGAAACAGAAGGGAAAAATCTAAGTGAACGCGCTTGGTGAATTGTTAGGTACGCTGCTCGCGGGCCGCGCCCTGAAAGAGCTCAGGAGCCGCTAGGAGCCGTGGTCCCCACTTTCCCTGCGACGCGTGCGGCCCGGGCTCAGACGCCACCCGCGGCGCCCGCGGGCTCATGTGTCTTGTCCTTCCCCACCCCCACCTCGCCCACCAGTGATCGACGGCCTGGATTTGCTGAAGAAGGAACACCCGGGGGCCCGGGATGGGATCCGATACTTGGAGGCAGAGTTTAAAAAAGGAAACAGGTGAGTGCGGCCCTGGCGGGGCGACCCCGGAGCCCAGTGTCAGTCTCCCAGGCAACAGACGCTCATTTGTCCCTGCTCCCTGGGGTGAGACACACACTTGCACTTCTGCCCACGGCCTGGGAAGGCAGGTCGGGCAGTGAGGGGGCCTGGAGCCCCGCTGGGGGTACTGACCTGCTGTCTGCCTGCCTCTGGGCCGGACAGAGAGCGTCACCGGGGAGTAGGGGCAGACGCCCGACCTCCCCCGCAGTCGTCCCGGGCGGGGGACAGGTTTCCCAGGGTGACGGTGCCTTCTTCGGCCCCCACACCTCCCTCGGAACCGTCATCAGCGCTCAGTCCAGCACAGGCCCGTCTTGCCGAGCCGGGGGCTAGAAGAGCAGGGGCAGTGGGTGCAGAGAGAGGGAGAGGCTGGTCCCCGCTCCCCCCGCCTCTGCCTGGCCTGGCCAGGACGCTGCACAAAGCCCGCTTGTCTGGGCCTGGTCTCCAGGAGCCCTGACTTGAAAAGCATCTGCTGCTGCTGCTCGCCCAGGCCCTCCCCTGGGAGGGACCAAACGATCCGTGTTATCAGAAGGAGAAGCAAGCCGGGCTCAGCCGCCAGGAAGCCACTTTGAAATGGCTCCAAACAGAGCTGTGAAGGGACAGGCACCCCTACCCCTCCTGCAGAACTGGGCCCCCTCCGCCGGGCCACAGTGCAGTGCTTCGTGCGAGGCGCCCTCCCTCTCCTCTGACCCCGCACCTCCCTCTGCCGCCTCCTTCCCAGGTATATTCGCTGCCAGAAAGAGGCAGGGAGGAGCTTCGAGAGGCATAAGCTGAAGAGGCAGGATGTGGAGGCCTGGTGAGGTTGCGGCCCGTGCTCTGGGCCTCGGACACCCACCCCTTCCCAAGCAGGGCCAGCCCGGGGCCTTTGGGGGGAGTGAGAAGTTGCAGCCCCAGACCCCCTGTGGCCCCGAGGTGCTCGGTGTCCTTGCTCAGTGGACACCATCCAGTACCAGCTTGCACTGACTGCCTGGTGCCCCGCCCCCCGTCCCCTCCCTGTCCCCAGCTTCCCCTGTGCCCTGGCGATCGCGAAGCCCAGTTCTTCTAATGCAGGGCCGTGACCCTCTTCCCCCTCCTCCTACCAGGACCCTCTATAAGATCCTGGACAGCTGCAAGCAGTTGACCCTGGCCCAGGGGGCAGGTGAGGAGGACCCGAGTGGCATGGTGACCATCATCACGGGCCTCCCCCTGGATGACCCTAGTGCGCTCTCAGGCCCTATGCAGGTGGGTCACGGGGAGAGAAGGGGGGGCGAGGGTGAGCAGGGCGGGGGTGCCAAAGTAGACCCCTTCTCAGACCTCTCTGCATGGGTACTTTTTCCTCTTTTGCCCCTCCCCCCGCCCTACTAATGGTCCTGGGGTTCAGGAGGTCAGGCCTCCACCTTCAGCCCCCCTCCCGTTCCTCAGGCAGCCCTGCAGGCCGCCGCACACGCCAGCGTGGACATCAAGAATGTTCTGGATTTCTACAAGCAGTGGAAGGAGATTGGCTGAGACAGACCCCAGGCCCTGCAGTGGGGCTGACTCCAGATCTCTCCTGTCCTCCCTGGCAGCCAGGACCCGCACCTGCAGTCACCCCCCACATGCAGACGCACGCACGCACGCACGCACGCAGAAGGAGGCCACAGGGAGGGCCCGGGAGCCACAGGGAGGGCCCGGAGCCGCAGGGAGGGCGGTCCCCTTGTCAAGACGTCAGGAAAATGGGGGAAGTGCTTGGAGCAGGAGCAGCCTGTGGGCCCCCAGCCCGCCCTTCTGCCTCAGCCCCCTGCTGTCCCCGGGGGCGGGCGGTGGGCACAGGCGTCTGCGTTCCGTGGGAACGGAGCGGTCTGTGGGCCTCCGAGGGGGAGGGGCGGCAGGGTCCCTCGTCCTCACGGTGCAGACTGGCCGGGGCCCGGTCGGACCCCCCCATCCCCCCCGCACTGGGGGAGGAATTGGGTCACACCAGACATCTGGCTGGTTCTCTGCAGACCCTTCCCTCCTCGAGGGCCACGTGTTCTCCCGCCCTCCCACTCTGCGCAGGCCGGGCAGCTCTGCAGTCTTGGGGACTCTTCCAGAAGAGGGGCCTGGAGCTGCCTGTGCTGTGAGCGGGGCCGGGGCTCGCACCCTCCTGCCATTGCAGGGCCGCCCACCCAGTTGCCCCACGTCTGCTTTCTCTCCAGCCGGCCAGTTCCAGGGCAGGGAGGAGGCCGTGGGCCAGTGAGGGCTCCCGGGCCCGCCAGCCCTGTGGGCGTGTGCGGGGCCGAGTGGGATGCCAGGCCCGGGGTGGGGTGCAGCGGGAGGCTGCCGGCCCCCTTGCTGTCTCAGCGAGGCCCTTAAAGCTGCGGTCGCGGGGTCGCTGTCCTGGAGGGGCTGAGCCGGGGCTCGAGTGGCCAGAGTGGCCAGCGGTGTGAGGTGGAGCTGAGATCATGAATAGCTCAGGGCAATGGGCGGAGCATTGAGTGCAGGCTGTAGGGGAGGCCCTGGCCAGGGAGGCCTCGGCCTCTCATGGGGGGGGGGGGGGGGGGGGGGGGCCCGGGGGTCTGGCTCCGCTGCCGCCTCCCCCGGCACCCGCCTAGCCTTCCAGGCTGTTCTCGGAGGAAAGCAGGCTTCTTGTCTCCTTCCTCTAAGAGCGCAGGTCTGGGACAACCAGGGGCAGTGGGGTCACCCCCGCCCCCAGTCCCCGGCAGAGACTGAGACTAAAGCATCACTTAATAAAGACCCCTCGAAGCCCCTCCGTGTCCTGGTGCGCGTCTGTAAGTTGTGTTGGGTTCTTGCCCAAGTGGGTTTGCGGGATGCCGGCAGCTGCGCATGTGAAAGACAGTGGTCGTTGGCCCCGTGAGTGGAGCTGGCACCTTGGCCGGGGTGCTGGTCGCCTGAAAACGGGTGAGGACCCCACCCTACCCCAAGGGAAGTTTGGTGCTCCTGCTGGGATGCTCTTCCTCGGACGAGGGGGTGAGCCTGAAGACCAGCCTCCAGGCCCTCAGTCCCCTACCCCCGGCAGGGACTGAGACCTCGACATGTGTCCGGGGGGTTACATGCCAGGCGGTTCCCTTGTGGTCGAACCTCTGTTTGTGGACTCTGCGCTGCCCGACCCCTGGGAGGTGCACTCTGAGGCCCCCAGTCAGGAGTGGGGTGCTGGTGCCTGGCCTCAGGCAGAGCTGTCCGCTTCCGGGAGGCCCCGGCATCCAGAGCAGCCGGGTCCCAGGAGGTCGAGTCGCCCTGGTGGGGGCTGCCGCCGGCTGTAGCCACTCTGGTCCCTGTGGGCTCGCATCAGGCCCGAGGGGCTGGCTGTGTGCAGGAGGCCGAGTGAGCTGCCTGCTAATGGCGCTGGGCCACCCCGAGCTGCCCCCTGGGGGCCGGACAAGGCTGGGATTGTTCTCTGGCTCCCTTTTGTCTCACTCGCCGCCCAGGCCTGGCCCGCCTGCCACTTTCCCTCGCAGTGGCCCGGCTGGCGGAGCCTGGGACTCTGCTGGCGGAGCCCGGGGCCTGCTGAGCCCCTGGCTGAGGAGCGCCCCCCCCCCCCGCCCCGAGCTCTGGGTAAGGATGCCCCACTGGGGCTGTGACACCTGTCCTGGGGTCCCGGAGCTAAGGCGCCTGCTGTGGCCCCTCGTCTGTCTTCACGGCTCCGGTGCACATTACTCTGGGGACCCTGAGTCCTCCTGCAATGGGAAGGGACCCTGAGGGGAGCTGGGCCCTGGGTGTTCACTGCCACCCGACCCCCGGGGAGGGGGGGCGGTGAATAGCACGCAGGATGGGGCACCCCACCCCCATCCCACTTGGGGAGGGGGGCCGGGGGCCTCACCTAAAAGCTCAGCCAGGGCACAGGAACTAGGGACCAGGCTCCCAGCTCAGGGGCAGAGGGCCTGGTGGCAGGGGGCCCCTGCGGCGTGGGGTCCAGTGTGTGCAAGGCGCAGACAGCCCAGCCCGGCTGGCGGCAGGAAGACGGGCGGGGCCGGGCCGTATTGTTGCAGGGAAGTTGGGGCCTGGGGAGGGGAGGGTCTGTTCTCTCTCCCCCGGGGCGGCTCCACCCGCTGGGCTGGCCCAGCCCCTCCGCTGGTGCCAAGGAATGTGCCTGGAAGAGGCCGGCGGGCGACAGAGCCACGGCCACCCGGAGGCGGTGCGCAGGTCTGGAGCCGAGGGGTGCGGGGCTCAGGAGGGTCAGGGACCCCTGGGGACGAGTGTAACCTTTAAGGAAGAGCCAGGCATCCCGGTTCCTCGCCCCTCCCGCGGCCATCTGGCCTCTCCAGGAATTCGCCGGCGCCATGGGTCTTCTGTGCTCAGCGGGGCTCTGCGGGCCGAGGGGCTTTCTGGTGGTGGCGCGGGGGGTGCTGGGGCTCTCCCTGCGCTGACCTCCATGAGTCAGGGTTCTCCCGGGACAGAAATACTGGGGGCTGGGGTCCTAGATCCAGGAGCTAGGGCTACCAACCGAGGCAGCCTTCCCAGTGGGCTGAGGCTGAGCAGCCCCTCTGGGCGGGGAACCCCCCCCCCCGCCTGGATGGAGAGTCCGGGGAAGCTGGGCTGCTCCCTCCCCCCGTCTGTGGGAGGCAGCTCAGTGGCCAGCTCCCACCCCATGAGCATCTGGGTGAGATGGATCTGGGTGAGAGGGGGCTGCGGATGCGGGCAGAGACCCGATCCCCTCACCCCGCACTTTGTCTCCAGGTCAGCGTGGAGGTGCCGGGCCGCCATGCTCAGTCTCAAGCTGCCCCAACTCCTTCGAGTCCACCAGGTCCCTCGGGTGAGGGGCTTGACCCACCGTCTCCCCCTCGGTGCTGCCTGGGGCAGAGGCTCTTTGAGCGACTGGCGATTGGCGTCTAGTCCCTACCCTCCACCCCGCTGAGGACCCGGCTGGCACCCTCTCCCGGAGCCCAGGATGCTCCTCCCTCCAGAGTCCCCTCCTTCCCCAGGGTGCCCAGTCTGTGCACGCCGCCCCTTCTATCTGGTCCCCTCTACGGGCTCTTCTGTTTCTCATCTGCTTTCTGGGTCGATCCGCTGTGGCTTTGGGGCCTTTGTGACCTCCAGCCCATTCTGTTGAACGCTGCTTCTGGAGAGATCGGGTGGGACTCAGTGACGCGCCTCTGTCCCACCCGCCACTGAACAGGTGTTCTGGGAAGACAGCATCATGTCGGGGTACCGCCGCCCCAGCAGCTCCGCCCGGGACTGCGTCCTCAGCTCCTTCCAGATGACCAACGAGACGGTCAACATCTGGACTCACTTCCTGCCCACCTGGTGAGGGGTGGCCCCAGGGGGTCCTGGGCGGGTGGGCCGGCGGTCGTTCCTGAGCACCTGCCCCGCAGGTACTTCCTGTGGCGCCTGCTGGCGCTGGCGGGGGGCCCGGGCTTCCGCGCGGAGGCCTACCACCGGCCGCTGCTCATCTTCCTGCTGCCCGCCTGCCTCTACCCCTTCGCGTCCTGCTGCGCGCACACCTTCAGCTCCATGTCGCCGCGTGCACGCCACATCTGCTACTTCTTGGACTACGGCGCGCTCAGCCTCTACAGCCTGGGTGAGCCCCGCAGGGCCCGGGGCGCTCCGGAGGGCGGCGAGCGGCGCTCCCGGCAGTGCCCGGGGAGGGGCCCCCCCCCTTCGGGCCTCAGCTCCTGCCCCGCGCCCTCTTCCCCAGGCTGCGCCTTCCCCTACGCCGCCTACTCCATGCCGGCCTCCTGGTTGCACAGCCGCCTGCACCAGCTCTTTGTGCCCGCTGCCGCGCTCAATTCCTTCCTGTGCACTGGCCTCTCCTGCTACTCCCGGTGGGTCCTCGGCCGGCGCGGAAGGGGAAGACGGAGGGACGGAGGGACGGAGGGACGGGACCGGACATCCCCAGCACACTGGAGGCCCGCGATTGGGGTTGCTGACATTAGTGACAGGGGCTGTGCCTACTGAGGACGCCCCGGGGGGTGCACCCCTGGCCAGCACGGCGCCTGCGCTGCCCCCCCCCCCCAATTCCCGAAGCCCCGCAAGAGGGCGGCAGGCGTCTGTCCCCCCTTCACAGGCGTGGGCATTTCCAGAGGAGTCACGTGCCCTAAGGGCAAGCACAGCTACCAAGCAGCACTGACATTCCTTTTTTAATGTTTTTTTCTTTAAAAACAATTTTTATTTTTTAAAATGTTTTATTTATTTTTAAGAGAGAGATAGAGACAGAACGAGCAGGGGAGGGTCAGAAAGAGAGGAGTCACGGGATCCGAAGCAGGCTCCAGGCTCTGAGCTGTCAGCACAGAGCCCGACGTGGGGCTTGAACTCACCAACCGGGAGATCATGACCTGGGCGGAAGGTGGATGCTTAACCGACTGAGCCCCCCAGGCGCCCCGCAGCAGCACTGACATTCCATCCCGGCCTCTCTGTGCCCCCCCGTTCCCCCCCCCCCCCGAGAAAGGAGGTGACCGGCCTCTCCCTCCGGCCCCCAGGTTCCTGGAGCTGGAAAGCCCCCGGCTCAGTAAGGCCGTCCGCACTGCCGCCTTCGCCTACCCCTTCCTGTTCGACAACCTGCCTCTCTTCTACCGGGTAAGGGGCCTGGGGCGCGAGGCTCCCCGCCCCGTCCCGAAGGCCGCCCGCCAGCCGCGCCTTACCTCGGCCTGCCTGGCTGTGCTGGGACGGGGTGGGGGGGGTCGGGGGGGTGAGGGGGGGTGAGGGGCCTGGGGGAGCTCCCCGCCCCCTCGCGAAGGCCGCCCCCCAGCGCCGCCCTCCCTCCGCCAGCTCGGCCTGTGCTGGGACGGGGGCCGCGGCTGCGGGCGGGAGGCGCTGAGCTCCAGCCACACCCACCACCTGCTGTGCGCGCTGCTCACCGGCTTCCTCTTCGCCTCACACCTGCCCGAGCGGCTGGCCCCCGGGCGCTTCGACTACATCGGTGAGGGGGGCCGCCGCCCGGGGAGGGGTGCGGGCACGGAGCGAGCCGACAGTGTGAGGGAGGCGGGGGGCGGGGGGGGAGGGGGTGTGCTCCTGGAAGGGCCCCTGGTCCCGGCGCCCTCCTCCCCCTCAGGGGGCCGGACTCCTGCGCACCAGCTCGTTCACTGCTTCACGTGGGTTTTCAGACACCCGCTTTGGGGGCGCAGCAGGCCCGGAGCACGAGGCGACCTGCCGTGGGCCGCAGGGTGAGGGCGGGCAGCCTCCGCATCGGCCGTGTGCCCTGACCTGCGCCACCTCCCCCCAGGCCACAGCCACCAGCTGTTCCACATCTGCGCGGTGCTGGGCACCCACTTCCAGCTGGAGGCGGTGCTGGCCGACATGGGGTCTCGCCGCGCCTGGCTGGCCGCGCAGGAGCCCCCCCTGGGGCTGGCGGGCACGCTGGCCACGCTGGGCCTGGCGGTGGCCGGGAACCTGCTCATCATTGCCGCCTTCACGACCTCCCTGTTCCGGGCCCCCAGCACGTGCCCCCTGCTGCAGGGTGGCCCGCCAGAGGGGGGTATGAAGTCCAAACTGCAGTGAGCCCGCCCTGGGGGAAGGCAGAGGCCAGGCGCCACCCCCCCTCCCGCTGGGGTGTTGCCCAGAAGGGGCACCTCGGAGCCTGGAGTCAAGAGTGGCTGAAGGGAGAGGGCGGAGGAGAGGAGCGCAGGGGGTGAGCGGGAGGGGTCAGGGGCGGTGCTCTCAGGGGGCTGGGGCAAGTGCTGAGGGTCTGAGAGGGGCCGTGCGCGCAGGTTGCTGGAGGCTGGGCGGGGGAGGCGTGGGGCCCCTTCCTGCCTGCAAGTCTGCAGAGCCCGGGGTCACTAACACCACTAACCGGGGCCCGCCCGCTAGCGCCCTCACCTCCCCAACCGGCCTTGTGCCCGCAGGGATGGGTCTGCCGGTCCTGGTCACAGCCGTGCGCGCGAAGTGTCCAGGACTTTGGGTCTAGTTGGGTGTCACGGATGGTGCAGGGGCCTGGGTGGGGGGAGGGGTGCTGGGCTTGAGGGGCATCCTAATTAGAGTTTTAGGAAGCTGCTTTCGATGCTTCCAGATGAGGCGGGTACAGTACAAATAAATAATCAACTGCAGACTTTGGGGAGCACTTTCTGGGACCAAAGAGCTCACAGCCCCTCTCCACTCCCATCCCCCCCCCCCCCCCCTTCCAACC